TTGAATCCTTCCAGGCAAACCATGTTTGTTTTGTCCTTTTCTAATTGTCCTGTCAGGAACCTTTTGATAATAACAATAAACAAGCCTTTTTTTAGCCAGGAAGGTCCCGATGAGATCCAACGTTTTAAATGTACAGACGCACAGCTTTTACATTCTGGCTTCATTTTTGTTCAGTAAATAATGACGGCCTGTGGTTTGAACACTAGAAGGCTAGAATTTCATGATTGTAGAACCTGGTAAACGCCACATAATTTTTATCATACCATCATACATAAAACGCACAGATTGATAGGGGGTGTACTTTCTTTTTATCATTGCTGCAAATGTCTACCACAGAACCTGTTGATGCAAAAGAAACTCCTTTCAGAAAACAGAATGACATCATCTCACTCAAAACTTAGAAACATTATCAGGTGATTTCTGAGCATATAAAGAAGCATATAAAAAATAAAATTCACAGAGATAATTTGGAAAACTTAGAATTCTTCGCAGCTTATTGATAAAAAAAGATATTAGCTGGACCGCCACAGAACTATATCTCTAGATCTTAAAAACAAATAACAGAAAAAAGCCTTCGTTTTGTGTGTTTTTGCTGTCCTGCTGTTCCTACAAGGTGTAGCAGCCCGAGGCACTCGATGCAGTCAGCCTGATGTGGTTTTTCTCCTCCATACATCACAGAAAGGCTAATGTTCCCTGACAGGGTTCACGTGATGTTTGGGGGGGTCTCAAAACAGGTGGACGGTTGAACCCGCAGGGAAGAGGCGCGCACGTCGAGAAGCTTGGGAACACAGTGATTAAAAATGACTCTGTCTGCTACCTGCAGGGGGGATTTCTCACAGGAAGTCTGTTCTCAAACACTACATCACAATGTTTTCATACCGTCTTTAACTTACTTGACAGCCTCAGTCACTGTTGTATTTACAGTAGTGTAAAATAAGCTCACTACTACAGCTGCAACAATTAATAATAATTTTCTGGTACTTGTGGTGAGACTGATCTCCGGTTTATTTTAGACCAAACTAAGGCTTTTAACCATTTCTTTTGTATTTTAATTTCCTCCTACAGTAGTGCAGCAGAGAGATTTTAAGTTGTTGAGCTGAGTGCTGAAGTAAATCGTTGTATCTCATCAATTAATCATAATATCTTATAACTTTAGCCTGGAAGCTAACCTTTTTTACAGACACCAACATTGTCAAAACTAAAGATCTGTTGTTGAAACTATACCAAGACTACATGTATTGCTTGATATTCCTAGGAGGATTTTTAAGTAGAAAGAAAGATGTTTGCTTTTTGCATAAAGATACTAATGCTGGAGATATTTTAAATGACAAACACAAATTCTGTTGTAATCTAGTCATTTAACTCATAAATAAGAATTTTAAATTTTAAATTGGTAGTTAGACAGGCTTTTTCTTGTTGGGTTTCTATATTCCCATTAAATTATTGAGTTTTTCTGAGTTATGCCAGTATTTAGACAGTATATTTATAGCCCCTGGCATTAAATTGTTCCCATTTTTTAAGTGCCATTTTGAATCTTTGGAGAAATGTGTTATGTTCATGAGGGAGCAGAGGGTTGCCGGCTTCTCATAAACTGTCGCGAGACGAATGTGTCCTTGTGGATTTGTGTGATTTGCAGAGCCAGGAGGTGAAGAAAGCTCATTACTGTAAAAATAGAACAACAGCTAAAATAACAAACTGTCTCTATGCATGTTTTCAAACTACAACTGTGCTAACTGGCAAATATATAGCGAGATTTATTGGTGGCCCTGCATCATTTCACCAAATATGTCATGTTTATCCTCTTCAGATCCCAGTATGAAAACTACATACTGGGAGAAAATAGGCATTTGGCACACTGCATGCTCCATCAGAGGATTCCCACACCAATTTCCAGGTTTTTTGGCTTTTTGCACATTTCGGTTGTGTAAATAAAAAAGTTTGATATACATTTACAGCAGACCTTAATGGTACAAAATAAAAAAAAAAGGGAAAAACCACAAAATTAAGTATTTTTTGTTAGCTTTTCTAACCAAATGTGAGACTTTTCTTGCAGTCTGATAACAGAAACCAGCACCTATCTGAAAGAGATCAAACCTGTTGAAAATTTGGCCACAATAAAAACAAGACATACAAAGATCACAGTGTTCACCTTTTTCATTACCTGGGTGAAGTCTACGTTTAAGCCCCAAATTATTTATACTCCGGCAGAATTAGATTTAAAATTATTTTCATTCAACCATGAGGTTTGTATCTAATATAAATTGTGATCAAAAGATAATAAATCAGTGTTAGTTTGGAAAAAAACAAATTTTTTTTCTGTTATTTTATTTTATTAAAACTGGCAGATCAAAAAGAATTCACATCCTTCCAAAAAAATCGAAAACTATTTTTATTAACATCATAATCTTATAATTGCTGAGCAGCTTTTTGCATTTTTCCCTTGTTGTTTTGATGATTTACATTTAGTAATTAGCTTAGAGTCTTTGAGGTTGGAAAGCCTCCTTGCCATAACCCTAATCTTAATCTTTAGCTCTCTCCACAGATCAGGCCATTCCAAAACATTAACTTTACTTCCTGTCAGAAAACCAGTGATGGTAAAATTCCAAATTTCTTTAGCCCTAAACCTGCCACGGGTGTGATTAATTTAGAGCTTACCTGGGGGTGAACGGATGGGCTAAAATGGTTCTGAAATGTTGAACTCAAAAGTTGATTTAATAAATGAAAAGCTCTGGTTGGATGAAGTCATTTTTAGAAATCTAGATTTTTATATTTAAGCTGGTTAAAAATAATGAAATACTGATTAAAATTATTCTCTCAGCACCTACATGAACATCCAGTATATGACACATGCTCCCCTATATCATGACTAGCAACACAATCATAAGTTGGCAACCACATATAAAATCTTGATATGAGAAAATATAGATTAATTAAAAAAATATTCATAGGATTCATTTGTCATTTTTCAGATAAAAAGTACTTTTAGAAAATAACAACCTTTGGGCAGGTATTAAACATACTTTTCATTAAGATGACATTTCTGTATTAAAAATGTTTTTATTTAATACAGAAATGTATCACGCAACCCATTTACTTCAGTCCTCGACGCAGCTGTCCCAGGTTTGAATCCCAGCCTCCAGAAGATAACAAAACAATAAAGGCCACTAGTGCCGCAGCAAAATCTTAAAAATAAAATGTATTTTTTTGGTTTGTTGTAATATTTTAATTAAATCTTAGATGTCAGCCTCCGACTGTTGATTCACTTTTAATGTTTACTTCAAATAACAGACAGTAAACTGTGCTTTGCTGCCTTATGCTCACTTTCTTTTACTTACACAAGAATATAACGATGTTTGAGGTAAATGTTGCTTAACTTACTTGGTGTCGCTTATTCTAAAGTTTTACTTAACATTTGTTTTAACATGCCAAGACTGTTGGAATGACAAGTAGCTGCATTTAAAATGTACTTTAGTCCAAGTTGTCTAAAACTCAAACAAGTGGACAAAGAAATGAATATAATGCTCATGATCTACAAACCAGACAACACTTTAAAATGGAAAGTGGCGAAAATCACTATTATATGCTGCATAATGTAAGTAACTGCTTTCTTAAATTACTAACGTGACCATGTATGCAGTTATAGTATGCGTTATAGTGTTTACCTGCACACTTTGTTTTTGCACCTGAATTTCACTCTGTGGGACAATAAAGAATATTTCAAATCTCTGTATAGGTTTTACATATGGACAGCTCACATGAAAATATGTTTTTTCTATATGTTTAGTTTTTAAATGAATAGGAAATGTATTAATATGTCTTGATCCATGAGGGTTTGTGATTTGGTATTGGAGTATGGAGTATTTCTTCGTTTATTATTATTGATAGTAAGATCTTGTGATGTAGGTTCAGGCTGTTATTTATTGTGTTCTCTTTTTGTATTTGGTGTATTTCTCCTTGGTTTGTAGTTCCTTCTGTGTCTGTTTCAGCTCCCTCTGTGTTCTCTGTGTTATTGTATCTCCTTCCATCAGTTTCCCTGCTCTGAACACTCCCTCAGCTGTCCACCATTCCCCTGATTAGACTCACCTGCTTTCCATGTCACTAATAACACCTCCTTTGTATATAAACCCCCTGGTTTTATTGCACCTTTCTTCTGTTTAATCCTCCCCGGTTCAATGTTCTATGCTCTGGTCTGGGTTTTAGTCCTGCTTCAAAACATGACAACATATGCAAAGAGTAACACTTGTATCTTAATCAAAATAAATAACTTTTTTACTTTAATACTGAAGAAGCAATGTGAAATTACAATGACTCAGCAACACATGAACTGCCAGCCATCTGTGTTTCTGCTAACAGTGGCTGTAGAAACCGGGCCTGGTGTTCTAACAATAGACCCAACCCAGCCCTGATCAGTGCTACATCATGGTACTGTGCATATGCAAACCAAAGTTACATTAATTAGGCCATTTATTCAACTATCCTCCTGCAGGTGGATTTTCTTTTTGCCTTGCTGACTTTATATACCTGTGATAGTTTTTTTTTGTATTTTTTGACCATATTGCTTTCCATAACTGTTAGTTTTAAAAGGACATATATTATGAATATTTTCAGTTTAAGCTTAGTAAAAATGTTAATGGGGTTTCCACTGATGTCACACTGCATTGCATTCTGGGATTGTCGTTGCTACTTGTGAGCTCTGCTGCAGAAGAGGCAGCGGTCAGAGAGGGAGAGCCCATGACACAATAAGGCTTTTAAACTGTTTGGTTCTAGACGAGATGTTAGACGTAAATATCTTATCTTCCACTGAATAAAGCTGTGTTGGCTACTCAGTGTGTGTTGGGTGTGTTCACTGATGAAGGTCATCCAAGCCATTATTATTTTTCTGTCAGTTTCTCTATTTTGTTTTTCAGGTTCAGTGTGACCTTTATGATTGTTTATGCCACATATAATGACATTTACACAACATATGTGTAAAAATGTTTAGAAGTATAATTTGTGGGGATGCTGGATGGCTCAGCTGGTAGAGCACCATGTGCAGAGCTGTAGTTCTCGACGTGGTTGTCCTGGGTTCGATTCTTGGTCTTGGGCCTTTGCTGCATGTCTTCCCCTTCTCTCTCCACCTTGTTTCCTGTCGGATTACTGTTTAACAGGACCAAGAAGTTGTGAACTGTGTGGAGATGTAATGGTAAACCAGGCGCCCCATTTCCGGGGGCCCTCATGCCTGCCTGTAATTTTTTTGCCTTTTTCTTCATTAAAATCTTTAAATCACCGAAAAGCTCCCGCCTGCATGTCTGCGTCTGGCTTTTACAGAAAGCCACCACCTTCTTGGCAAAAGCATCATGTTTTGTTTAGTAAATTAACATCTACTTCATGTACTTTGTAATTTAACAATTTGTGGTCCTGTCAGGTAGTCAAGTAAAAAACAGGAATAATAAAACTTTAAGACTTTTACTTATAAAGATTACATTAACGTTTGACTTGGTGACAAAAGAAATTCTAACAATAGCAGAGGTAGTTTAGGGGAGCAAATGTCAGTATTAAAACATAGACTCTCTTTTGTGTTGAAAGTTTTGATGAAAAATCAACATAAAAATAATTTTAAGGCCTTTTCTCAGCACTACGCACCTGCTTCAATGTTTTGTGTATGTTTCACTGAAGAATAAGATTTTGACACAAGCACTGTCAATTGCTTGTTTTTTGTCAAAACCAAGCACTGGTTTTGAGAAAAAAAAAAATAAAATAAAACAAATATATGACAGGCAAACAGAAGCAGCTGAACACCTGCCTAAGGTCAACAACAAGGAGCAGCGTAGCAGAAGAAAGTTGGCCCAGCTGTACCTATAGCAGCATAATGGCTTTCTGCAATGAAGACAGCATGGAGGTGAACTACAGCAAGGATACTGTAAGGATTCATTTCAGAGACAGATTGGGAGCAATTGAGAGGATGTTAATGCTGTTTTCTGGACACATCAGGGGGTGTATGAGCTACTAAACTGGGAAGGTTGAGCTGGCTGAGCAGTTGACTCCTGGTGACCCAGAATAGTATGTTGTCATTTGTAGTAATTTTGTGATCATGTGAGATGAAATAAGTGTTTTGTAGATGTTTAGAAGAAAAAAAACTGTTTTCCTGTGTTATCTTTATGACCAGACACTTATTATTGTTTTAATTAATTGTTTTTACTGGCGTATGCTAATGTAAACAATCTGCCTAGTTGAGTCATCCAGAGCAGTGGTATTTCCAACAGACTCTTAAACCCTGTCCTTTATAACTATAAATCTAATTATCTGATAATTATTTTCCCTTGATTTTTATTATTGTAAGGCTAAATGAAGTGACTGGCTAAAGTAGCCATTTACCACCCAGAGCATAGCACGACTTTTTCTGCTCCATGTTATTCGTACCTTCATCCTTTCCAACCTAAATTCAGTCAGAGGGTAACAGGATAGATCGTTCACATCTGCAAGTTTGTACCAGCATGTTTGTCTGCTTAATATGGATTTGTGGTGCATCTCTGAGCTAAAACTGGGATCGACACTGGAAGTGGAGGGAAGCTTCCTTGGCATCGGGAGATCTGATTCTCTCTGCATCCTTTAGCTGGAGCTATGGTTTGCAGAGAGATTACATGTAGAAGATGATGCTTAATCCCTCATCCCACTCTCTGCAGCAGATATTTTGTTTGCTGTTAAAAATTGAAGTTGCCCCCATGCCTCATGTATAGCATTATAAGCTTTAGGAATGAAGTGCATAAGAATGTTAAAAATTGGCTTTAAATTTAACCAGAATATTTTATCTTAGTATTTATTAAGTAAATAGTCAGTGGCAAACTCTGTGGAGCCAAATTCCATATGAAAATAATTTTAGTCGAAGGATGATCCTGTCTGTCACACATGTAAGTTTTAGAAACAGACTTGTTCTGTTCTGCTGTTATGACAGATTCAAGCATGTGCAGTTTAAGAATGCATGACCGATTACTCTTTCTCCCCTCCTTCACACTTGCACTCTCCGTGCTCGCTCAGAGCAATATGTTTAGAAGATTACCTATAGATGCTGCCTGTACCCTCACTGAGCTAATCTGTCCCTGTCAGCCCACGCAGCAGCTCTGGATGCTTCCACTGCAGCACAGCATTTAGATCCCAGTTAGATTGGACTTTATCCTGCACACCTGCCTTGGAGGAGTTTTGTGAATTTAGACGAAATAAGGACGAAGGAAATGAGCCTGCTGAAAATTGTAACATTTCATGTCGCTAATTGGAAGTTCAGAAGCTTGGGTTTGGCTTGGTGAATAACGCCACGCTGTCTGTGACTTTGAGCTGTTTCTTGCAGCTGTAAAGAAAACAAACGAAATGTTCTTTAGGTGTAATGTGGTCTGCTGGATCAGATGGTGAATCTCTCCAACATTTTAACTGCATGGGTAATTTAAATAATTTATATTTTATGTGTGTAGCATTAAGTTTCACCTGCCATCAAGATGGGCCTTACCTGCAATCCGGAAACTTCTGTTTTCTCTTTTACAAACCTTCCAAGTAGAGACAAAGATCAAAAGTTCTAAAATTGTGTTTAAATGCACAGAAAGAAGTGGAGAAAGCAGAAAATGTACCTTTTTATGAAATTTACAGAAAAGAAAACACAAAAGAGGAAGAGGAAGCAGGACTTGTTGTGTCCTGTTAGACACACCACACCAAGCACTGTGTAGGCTTTCCTTTTTTACCGTAGAAAACATATTTATTACAGCATTCAGGCCCCACAAAAAAGGAACAACAGCAACTGCAAGATTGCAGAAATATATTATATACCATAAAATTGATAAACAACTTACTGTACACACTACAGTGCTTTTAAGAATCATAGCGTTTGCATTGCAGTTACGGCATAAATAAAAACACATTCGGTAATCTCAAATATCTCCGTTAGAAGCAAAGCACTGACAAAAAAACAAGTCAGCTTGAGTTGAAAATGCTACAAACAGCATGAATAATTTCTTAGTTCTGCACATTGGTGCTCTTTAAATTATAGATGAGTTAGACATTTATTAAAAAAGTTAATATTTGACTGCTGTATTGCACTAACTCATTATACTGAGTGTGACTTGTTAATGAAAAATGAAAGACATACCAGGATGTTGGTTAGTTTTCAACCTCAAGATCACTTTGGCCCAGAGATATTGTGATGTTTTTGTCAAAATTTATAGTTAATATTTAATCATGCCTATAAATTAGATTTGAAATCTCTTGATGACAAGAGATTGGTTTAATTGCTAAAAATGTTCCTTTTAATTTATACTGTAATGCATTCAAGGTAGAAATATCTATATATCTATACATATATAGATATATATATGTTAAAAGTCAAGATCCTTTTACTCAAAAGCTCATTAAAATGCATAAAAATTATATATATATACAAACAGTATCTTGCTAGTTCTCTACAAAATTAAATTCAATTTAAAACATTTTTTTTACTCCAGGTAGCTTCTAACAGAAATGTAGCGTTTCACCACATTTTGCAGCACATCCCAAATATGGCGGCATTTAATTAGATTTAGACTAAAACCAGAACCTAGTTTAATTTTTGACACCCCAAATTAAACACAAAGTAAAATCTTGGTCATTAACGTCTCACAGTGTTCCCCAACCTGTGAGTGGGTGAAAATTGAAAGACTTTGCGACTCTTAGACCTAAAACATCTGTTGTTTATGTTAGCAAAAGCTTCACCACAGTAATAAGGAGCACGTAAGGCTTTTGGTGGGGGTAATGGCAACTGTGACATACATTCATAAAGACAAAAGGACTTTAATACAGACTGGCTTTAACTGGTTCATTTCTGTAAGGATTAATGATATATATTTGTTTATGGGCTGGATTAATGAAAGTATTTTATTTGTACATCTGTACTAATTAAAATAAGGTTTTCCTGCCTTTTCTGATTAAATCGGAGTTCAGTCCAACCTTCATTGCTTTCCCATTTTCAGCTGTTTGTTACGTCGTATAGTGCCCTCTGAAACATCGCCTGCTGTCCTAGCCCAAAAATGAAACAATTCACTGAAGCTGGGCAGAATGAAATCAACTGTACTGTTGTTCCATCCACAGTTAATCCCAAAACTATTCACACCCCAGATAGCTTTAAATGTAAAGTTGTCTACTTATGTGACCATATTGTTTCTGACTGGAACTCATATAAATGTTTTTGGGTGACCCATCCAGAGTTTTGACTTGAATCTAATAGAAAACCTGTGATGGGAACTGAAAATTAGGGTGATGGCAAGGAGGCCTTCCAAAGACTGGGAGCTCACTGGTTCATAATCAAAGATGAATCATCATCCAAATATCAGTGGAAACGTACAAAAAGCTCCTCAGAAATAATTAGAAAGACTTGCTAGCTCTAATGTCAATAAAGACATTTCCCTTGATTATTGGGAAAGGTATAAATATCATTTGGTATGATATACTTTAAGAAAATGTAAATAAAACTAAATGATTACTTTCAGAATTTATACTCCTTTTACATTGTTCTATCATCTTTTGAGAGATGCATGTCTTATCAGAAACAGACATATGAATAATTTTAAGCCTAACTCTAAATGACCTGTCCCTCTTCCGGCTGCCTGCTGTACTTTTTAACACCATATCCTGTGATTGATGGACTAGGAAAGGTACATTACACTGGGAATGTTTTGCTTGTTTCAGGCTTTGGTTTGTTTCCTACAGTTTGTTGTCAACCTACAAACCATATAAGTATTTTTTTCCTGTATTAATCCTGTAAAACAATGGATATATCGTGGAAAACGTGAACCATGGCCCATGAAAGCCAATGCTGGCAACAGAGATTCAGGCTACACATACACTGGAGTCTCTGCAAGAGGATGGTCCTAATTTATCTTCACACCAACTTCCAGAAGACTTCAGAGGAACCAACCTGGAAATTTCGGTGTACTGCTCCTCTGGGATGTGCTGGCATTTATTATTAGAGTTTTAATGAATTAGGGAATATGGGAAAAAGTAGAAAGGGCAAAAGAAGTGGGAAGGAAATCAATATGGATGCCTCTTAGAGTAGAGGTGAGTTATTAGCGCTAGTAGCAGCTTTGTTAACGCT